AAGGTGAGCGGGGGCGCGTCGGCGTGCCTGGGGCGGGGGCCCGCGCCGAGTAGCCTTTTAAAAAGGCCGCAGCGCCGGAGCCGAGCGCGCCGCCGCCCGGGTTCGGTTACATAACCGCCCGGCCGCACCCCGGCTCGCTTCCCTGAGCCGCCACCAAAAGTTGGCAGCTTCTGTTTTGGGCCCGGCCCAGACGTCGGTTAAGATTATGTAACTGAACAATGGGCCTCGTCTGGAACTTCTTCATCTTACAAAGGGGCTGATCGGCGCCGTCCAGGTGGCCAGGGGTTTGCCGCCCTGAGCGTGGCAGCCCCGAGCGGGGCGCCGACAACGTGGTTTGCAAGGATGCTGCAGGGGAGCCGGCCGGGCCACCTGACACTCCCGAGCCATATGGTGCCTTTTAAACGCAGTGGTCGAGCCTGTAATTTGGGCGGCGCAAACAGAAGGAGATCGGTTAAAAAAAAAAAAAATTCCTGCGCTTATCGTTGGGTGTCGTGTGGCGTTTTAGGGGGTTAAGTTTGAGATGTGCTGGGGGAGATTGCGCTTCGACCTGGGAGTTACGGTTGGGCTTTCGAGCAAGAACCATCTTAAACTGACTCGAAATAAAATGACTCAAAAGTAGTATTAAAGCCTCTTCCCGAGCATAGTATTGGGTAAGCGTTTGTTTGTATCCTTGGGCCCAGGTGTGTCGATTAGGGACATCCCACTGTTGATAACTTATCTTAAAGCAGTAAGTATTCGCCACCTGTTGAAGGGTCAGTGATGCGTGTGCAAATGATCACTTCTAAAAGAACTTCAGGAGTCACACCAGATTTTAAAATGGACACATCCCGAAATTAACACAAGCATTTTGCATTTGTAAGTTAATATGGAAAAAGCATCTTTTAAAACGAGTCCGTCTTGTTTGCAATGTGTCATTAGTCGTACACGTCAGAAATACGGACTTTTTTGAGGCTTCTGTTTCTCAGCCCCCTTGCCCAGGCAAGATTCCCTGTGGAAGAGGAGAGGAGTCCTTGCAGAGGTGGCTTTCAAAGCCCAGTTTTGATAAGAAGAGGTGCTTTTATGAGTCTTTCCAACTGCTTTTTGTTATTTTTAGATGGCTGGAAGGGTTGGTTTGTTCACTTCTAGCTCCTAGAATTAACTTTGCTTTAGTCTGTTCATATTATTTTTAGAGTGTTTATACTGGACTATATCCTTTTTTGAAAAGATGGTTAGTATTCCCCTTCAGACTCTTAAGCTAGCCACCATTTATTTTGTTCAAAGTTAGCAAAGGCTCCAGGTTGCTTTAATCTGCAGATTCAGCATGGTGAGGTCCCCATCTCCTACCTCCGTGGGATAGGCTTGACTGTTAGGTGGAGACTGTCTGTAGGACATGGTTCCTAAAGATTTTCTTTTTCCTTCCCTAGAGTTTGCTCTCCAAAGCTCGAGGACTGGATTCCAGCTCTGTTAAACTGCGGGGTGGTTCTCTATTCATGGATACAGAAAAATCAGGAAAAAGGGAATTTGACATGCGGCAGACTCCTCAAGTGAATATTAATCCTTTCACTCCAGATTCTGTGCTGCTTCATTCCTCAGGACAGTGTCGCCGGAGAAAGAGAACATATTGGAACGAGTAAGTCATTTACCCAACAGATTGATTTCCCCTGGCCACTCAAGATTGCTTTGATGATGCTGTGCTCATCAAAGTTCAGTTTCTCCTGAATGGCACAAACGCTTGTGCTCTGCTCTTTCCTCTTTTACCAGCACTTGTCAAGGGAGGGGTGGGAGGGAACCAGCAGTTAGCATAATGGCTATGTTGCTGGATTTCCACACAAGCGCCCTGTACTGAAAACCTCTCAAAAAAAAAAAAAGGGGGAAGTAGTCAGGTGTATGAAAGGTAGGGCTAGAAAGGATCTTACAGGAAACTTACTGGTGTCAAAAATGAATTGGGCAGAGGGAACCAGCAGTTAGCATAATGGCTATGTCACTGCACTCCCACGTAGTTGACCACGGTTTGCGTCCCGGACCCTGTGGCTTAAAACTCACTCTGGGCACGTGTGCGTGCGTGCCCAAGATCCCGAGAGGAGAATGGAGGAGAAGGGATTGCGGCATGACCATCCCCCCTGGGGGGTGATTTCTGGCTTTCTGTCTCTATGTCTCTGTCTGTCTGGCGAGCACACGCGTCCTATAGTGAAAACCTCTCCAAAAAAAAAAAAAAAAGAAGTGGGCAGAGAGCTGATTTAGAAATCTTCAGTTTTGGTGTGTGCAGCAATGTCGTTAGCCTCTGGGTGAGTGAGCGCTTCACAATGGGGACAGCGTTTGAATCTTCAGGGCTGAACCTTGTACTTATGAAATTAAACACTGGTTTTTTTATGCATTAATATTCTATTTTACTGTAAACTTATCAATTAAAATTTTGGGTTTCAAGTTTATGTATCTGTCAGATATATTGATGGAAAAATTCATGATGTTTTTTTCAGTTCCTGTGGTGAAGACATGGAAGGCAGTGATTATGAGTTTGAAGATGAAACAAGACCTGCTAAAGTAAATAGCTTTTAAAAAAATTATTTCTGAGGAGCAGTAGGTGGTATGGGGATTAAGGCCCTGGATTCTCACATGTCTGACCATTATTTAGGCCCCAGACTGGCAGCTTGAAAAATCATGCCTGTGTACCCAAAATCCTGACAGAGAAGGGATTGCTGTATGGCCACTCCCTTCTTTGTCCCACACCCCTGGGTGATTTCTCACTTTCCCTGTCTGTCTTCAGTGAGCACAGATACCCTATGACAAAAACCTAAAAAATAATATTTGAAGTTTGGTCTTCTACTTCTTAATGTAATGTTAATGAGATAATATATAAATATGTGTGTGTGTGCATGTGTGTTAGAAGATAAAATGAAATTTTTTTTTTTTCTTTTAATTTTTGCTATTGGGTATGTGCACTTGCTGGAGGGATACACGGTAAGCGAGGAATCAACCCCTGGGGGGATGGCCATGGCGCAATCCCTTCTCTTGGGATTTTGGGCATGTATACACATGCTCTGGCGTGAGTTTCAAGCTGCTGGGTCCAGGACTCAAACCAGGGTCAACCCTTGGGAGTCCAGTGCCCTAACCATTAAGCCACCTGTTGGCCCAGTGACTTGAAAATCTTATAGTCCTAACACCATATCAAAAAATAATTTTTAGGGACCAGCAGGTGGCATGGTGGTTAAGGGCACTGGACTTGCACATGGCCAACCACACAGTTCAAGTCCTGGACGTGGTGGTTTACTTTCTCATGCTCGCTCTCGCTCTCTTTCTTATTATCACTCTCTGGTCAAATTAAAATAAATAAATGGATAAATAAAGTTAAATAAAGTAATTCTTTAAAAAATAATTTTTAGAGGCCCGCAGATGGCATGTTGGTTAAGGGCGCTGGACTCCCACATGGCTGAACATGGTTCGAGTCCCAGACCTGGCGGCTTGCTTTCTCACTTTCTCTCTTTTTCTGTCCCTTTCTGGTCAAAATTAAATAAATAAAGTTAAATTAAAAGAAAATTATTTAAAAAATGATTTTTATATCTTTGTATTATGTATATGGATATATCTTTTATTACAGAGAATTACGATTACTGAAAGCAATATGAAGTCACGATATACAACAGAATTTCATGAGCTAGAGAAGATTGGCTCTGGAGAATTTGGTTCTGTGTTTAAATGTGTGAAGAGGCTGGATGGATGTATATATGCCATTAAGCGATCAAAAAAGCCATTGGCTGGCTCTGTTGATGAGTATGTATTAAGCATTTTCTCTTTTGTCCCCTGTGGTGTTACAAACATTAAAATCATAGGTGATCAAATACTGAATTGAATTTTCTGATTTTTGGAAAGTTGCAATGATTTAATCAGATCATTTTAATTTTATGTCACTAGTTCTATTTTTTTCGGGGGAGAGGTTTTTGCTATAGGGTGTGTACGCTCACCAGAGAGACAGAAAGCGAGAAATCACCCCCCTAGGGGATGGCCAGGCTGCAACCCCTTCTCCTCCATTCTTCTCTTGGGGACGCATGCACACACCCTGCGTGAGTTTAAGCCACTGCGTCTGGGACTCGAACCATAATCAACTATATGGGAGTCCAGTGACATAGCCATTATGCTATCTGCTGATCCCATGCCATTAGTTCTTATTGGACTTGGTAAATAATATGAAATAGTCTGATTTTAGAATTTTTAAAATTTATTTCTAGTCAGCATCCATGAATTCACAGTAAAATGGTGTTTAGTCTTTCCCAAATCCAAGGGCCAAGAAATTTGTTTCTGACCGTTTTCTTTAATAAAAGCCTTTGCAAAATTTCACGCAAGTCTTAGTTGTCTCAAGCAAGTTGTTCTTGAGCATAATGCTGTGTATGAAAGTCAGGTTTATTTCATGAAATTTCAGATAATTCAGTTTAGGTTTGAATAAGAATGATTTACCATTTATTCATCTCAAATTTCTCCTAGGCAGAACGCCTTGAGGGAAGTATATGCTCATGCAGTGCTTGGACAGCACTCCCATGTGGTTCGCTATTTCTCTGCATGGGCAGAAGATGATCATATGCTTATACAGAATGAATATTGTAATGGTGAGTGACATAACAGTTCTTACCTATGATTGTGAGCTCTAAAAAATGAACACCAAGGAAATAGTTTTGATCTAAAGTCATGTTCTATTTTTCTATGTAAAAATGCATCACGACAGGGCCAGCAGGTGGCGTGGTGGTTAAAGGTGCTGGACACTCCCACATGGCCGACCACGGTTCGAGTCCTGGACCTGGTGGCTTGCTTTCTCACTTTCCCTCTCTCTCTCTGTGTCTCTCTGGTCAAATTAAAAAATAAATGAGTGGATAAATAAATAATTTTAAAAATGCATCATGACTTTCCAGACAGCCCAATATTTCTATTTTATCTTATAAATCCAAAGATCAAAGACTCAACTTGGATTCAAGGGCAAGCAAAGATTGAGAACATCTCTTCTTTTTCTAAGTTTATTTATTTTCTTCACAAGTAGTGGCCATGTGCACATGAGAGAGAAGGATAGGCTCCCTCACCAGGTTTCCATCATGCCAGGATCCCTTCTCAGCCCTCCAGGTTGTCAGGATACTGGGCATGGGTGCAGGGAGCTGGCCAGGGATCTGAACTGTGTCAGCTGCATCGCTTCCAGCACTACAGTTCGTATGCTAGTGACTGCACCGCTGAGGATGGGCCGTGAAAACTGTTCTTTCTGAGATACATACCCAGTAGTTGAACTTCATGGTGCTGGACACTCCCACATGGCCGACCACGGTTCGAGTCCTGGACCTGGTGGCTTGCTTTCTCACTTTCCCTCTCTCTCTCTGTGTCTCTCTGGTCAAATTAAAAAATAAATGAGTGGATAAATAAATAATTTTAAAAATGCATCATGACTTTCCAGACAGCCCAATATTTCTATTTTATCTTATAAATCCAAAGATCAAAGACTCAACTTGGATTCAAGGGCAAGCAAAGATTGAGAACATCTCTTCTTTTTCTAAGTTTATTTATTTTCTTCACAAGTAGTGGCCATGTGCACATGAGAGAGAAGGATAGGCTCCCTCACCAGGTTTCCATCATGCCAGGATCCCTTCTCAGCCCTCCAGGTTGTCAGGATACTGGGCATGGGTGCAGGGAGCTGGCCAGGGATCTGAACTGTGTCAGCTGCATCGCTTCCAGCACTACAGTTCGTATGCTAGTGACTGCACCGCTGAGGATGGGCCGTGAAAACTGTTCTTTCTGAGATACATACCCAGTAGTTGAACTTCATGTACTATTTATGTGCCTATCACACAGATTAACTGAGCTTCATGCACGGACAGTGGCCTCGTCTCATGTTTTGCCATCTCTAGCACCTGCATAGTGTATGGAGCATCTAGCAGTTAGCACGATGTTTGGTTGAATGGGTTTGCCCTGCATCTAGCCTGCCCTTCCCATGTCTCTTTGTGTGCTGCTGATAACTGGTGTCGGCTACTCATAAAAGGACAGTGGCTCCCCACTGATCTCAATTCAGCCATTTCAAGACTCTCTGTAATCCTGCCCCATTCCTATTTGTCCAACCTTGTTTACCACTAGAATTCACTAACATTTATTAAGTGTGTTCTGTTCTTTAGTAATCTCGCTACTGTTCTTTAGTAATCTCGCTAATCCTCCTTCCCACTTCTCCTGTCCAAAGCAAGTGTGTAATTGGTTCAACTGTGGGCCTCTTGGTATAACTTTTAATTTTAGCAAGTCCTTCTAGGGTTAGTTTATGTTCTTCCTTTCTCTTTGTATCATTACCCAAATCCGGGTCTGAATTCTGATCCCTGTATATAATGGACTGGTTCTATCTACATGTTTAGAGTTTGCCAAACACTTGAGATAACAAAGATTTAATTTTGTTTATTGTTGTGATTTCTTTCTTAAATAAACAAGACCAGCTAGCTTATGGTCTTTGAATAAATTAGTATAGGAAGTTGATTCAGTTTCTTTATATTTAAAAACAATAACATAGAAGTGAGAATCTGTTTCTCAAACATGAGTTCTTATTAAGTTGTCGATTTATTCTCTACACCTGGAAGAACTTGAGTGTTCATGATAAGGCATTATTGCTAGTTTGTTTCATACTGCTCTTAAAATGTTTCTCTCTATACCATCAAAATATTTATGTAGCAGTCTCCTTGACTTTGTGGACTATTCTGTTTGTATGTATATACATACACACATAGGCACACACACGTGTACATATACACACATGCATACATATATTTTTATTTTTAGTTTGCTGTAGGACATATGCATTTGTTAGAGAGAGAGATGGAGACATCACCCCCCTAGGGGGGATAACCATGCTGCAGTCCCTTCTCTGTTCTCCTCTTAATATTTGAGCATACATGTACACATGCCTGATGCGTTTTCAAGCTGCCAGGTCCTGGACTCAAGCTGCGTAGTTGGCCATGTGGGATTCAGATGCCTTAACTATCATACCACCTGCTGGCCCAATAATAGAGATTTTTTTTTTTTTTTTCGTGTGCCCAAAAAAAAGAGTTTTTTTTTTTTTTTTTTTTTTAAGGAGGTTTTTGCCATAGGGTGTATGCGCTCTTTGGAGAGAGAGAGAGACAATGAAAGGGAAAGTGAAAAATCACCCCACGGGGATGGCCATGCTGTAATCCTTCCTCCTCCATTGTTCTCCTGGGATTTGGGGTATGCTCACACATGTGCCCGGATGATTTTCAAGCCACCAGGTCTAGGACTTGAATCACCGTTGACCACATGGGAGTCCAGAGATGTAACCACTATGCCGTCTGTTTGCCCCTAGATTTTTAAAAAAGAAATAGATCTGGGTGAGACAGGATCACCTCTTTGTATGGTTTATCCTACAGATGAAAAAAAAAAATATAAGGGTTTCTAGATATATTTGTGAACTCTTCCTTTTCTTACCATGTTTCCCTTTTCTACAATTTTTCCAAATAATGCTTTGAGTGTTTTAATAAGGCTGATCTTTAATTTTTTGTCTAGTTTCACAGAAAAATAATTATTTTGTTATTTATTTATCCATGTTGATTAACTAATAATCCTCTGTTGTAACTGAGGTTTTTTATATGTCAAATAGTCATTTGCATTTTAAGCTTTTATCTTGGTTTAGCACTAGATCAGAATTTATACCCTGGTTTAACAAGTACAGAAAAATGTTGATAAACTGTTAGGAGTTTTTCTCTTCTTTTGCCTTCTAGCAATGTGGTAGAACAGGCCCAGCTGTAGTTGTTGGATGTGCTGGAAAGGGAAGTAGCCTTATGTATTTTTTCCTATAGGGTACTTGTGCTCACTGGGAGAAGAAAGAGAAGAGAGAAATCCCCTACTTCCAGGGAGATGTACACACCACAGTCCCTTCTCTTCCATTTTCCTCTTGTGGTTTTGGGAACACATTCACATGTGCCCAGCATGTTTTTCAGGCAACTGGGTCAGGACTTGAACAGCGCAGTCAGCAATGTGGGATCCAGCTACCTTAACCACCACACCACCGGTGGCCCTAGCCATATTCTTTCTTATCAAATATGATCTAGGACTTGGCTCCCTTTGTCTGACAGGCTTATTGGTATACTTGCTTCTAGAGTGTCCCGTTCCCCCCCTCCCCATTCCTGATTTTTACAAGTTTGGAGAACATACCTAAGTATATTTATCATCCTGTTGGGTGATAACATTTTTATTTTAAAAACACATTTAGGGTACTGGCAGGTGGCATGATGTTAAGGCACTAGACTCCCACATGGCCAACCACAATTGGGCACGCACGCACACGCGCCCGGCGTGAGTTTTAAGTCACCGGGTCCGGGACACGAACCATGGTCGACTACGTGGGAGTCCAGCGACATAGCCATTACGCTAACTGCTGGTCCTAGCAATTTTGTTTTTAAGAGATACACTAAGACATGTGAAATGACCAGTGTACAAGGTTATTCAACATACAAGGTGATTCATATAGTATGTGTAAGAGCAAAGGCTTGTAAATTTTAAAATGTCAAATAAATAGTTAATGGCTTACCATGTGATTATACAACAGTTCTGTAGATACACAAGAAAGAAATAGGTAGTCTTTTTATAGTGGTATACAACAATCTTCAAGATGATGAATATATGCTGTCATTTGTGTAAAAAGGAGTAGTAAAGAATACATTAGCAAATGATAACATTGGTTTACTCTGCAAAAGAGAGCCAGGTGGATTGTTGGCATATATAGCTGAGAGAAAGGTTTTACATTGTGTGAGGGGACTTTAAAACCCTTATGGGAAGGGAACCAGCAGTTAGCGTAATGGCTGTGTCGCTGGACTCCCACGTAGTCGACCACGGTTCGTGTCCTGGACCCGGTGACTTAAAACTCATGCCGGGCGCGTGTGCGTGCGAGCCCAAGATCCTGAGAGGAGAATGGAGAAGGGATTGCGGCGTGACCATCCCCCCTGGGGGGTGATTTCTCGCTTTCTGTCTCTATGTCTCTCTCTGTCTGTCTGGCGAGCGCACGCGCCCTACAGTGAAAATCTCTCAAAAAAAAAAAACCCTTATGGGAAAAGGAATTAAAGTACAAGTTTATTTGGATACAGAACTTAAAATTTTATGTAGTTTTTTTCGTAATACACATTTTTCATGAACTTTTTGAAGACCTAGTTGTATTTTGTGTCTTGGCAAGTGTATTATCTACTGAAAGAAAGACAATTTTGATTTGACAAACAGGTTGAAAGTGGTTGATTCTATAATATGTAACTTTCTTGGATGAGGCTATGGTCATTCAATAAAGTTAGAAGGAAGAAAATTATTATTTTAGAAGGAAAATGCTGGGGCCGACAGGTGGTGTGGTGGTTAGATTATGTGATTCCCACATAATCGACTGTGGTTCAAGTCCTGGACCTGGTGGCTTGCTTTCCCGTTCTCTATCTCTATCTCTCTCTGGTCAAATAAAGAAATAATAATGACAAATGGAAATAAATAAATAAATAACTTAGAGAGAGAGAGAGAGAGAGAGAGAGAGAGAAGAAAATGCTAATTTTTGTTGTCTTTTGTAGGTGGAAGTTTAGCTGATGCTATAAGTGAAAACTACAGAAGCATGAGTTACTTTACTGAAGTTGAGTTGAAGGATCTCCTTTTGCAAGTTGGCCGGGGTTTGAGATATATTCATTCAATGTCTTTGGTTCATATGGATATAAAACCTAGTAAGTATGAGTTTCTGATATGTATTCTTTAGGGTTATAGGGAATAAATTAGTTTATTATAGTAATATGAAAACATGTCTTGTTTTTTTTTACTGTTTTTAAAGTCCTTTGACTCTCCCATATTGTTTTATGATTTGCATTTACCTCTTGTTACTCCATAAACTTTGAGATAATGAACACATTTTCACTGAAAACTGAACAACACTGATGCATTATAATAGGAACCACATAGTGTCAAAGTGGGACTCTGATTGGGGCACTAAAAACCTGTTTAAAGTCCGGCTCTTCTCCTAGGTCCATTTTCTCCAGTTGACAGATCTTTAAAAGCTGATTTGTTCAAAGTAGGATTTTTTTCAGGACCATTGCTCATTGTTTCTATTCAGATTT